GCAATAATAATTAGGAAAAGAAATAGAAAAAAGAAACACACAAAAACAAAATAAACTTCAATTCATTCTCAAACAACAACTTAGACATTATACAGTTTCATATTTCTTTTTTTCCTTTTTTAAATCACTTTCCAGATTATTCCACAATCTTATTCCCTGAACCGAACTACATCGGTCCTTCAGGTTTGTTCGAATTCTGGGTTTCACAAACATCTCAAGTCCTTTAAGATTATAAGAACTTTTTCTCTTAACAAAATATGAACCTATGGCAATAAATGAATCCTGAAACATTATTTTGGCTAACCTTTTTTCACATGACGTGTGATATAAACTTCAACTTCAACTTGTATTGTCCTGCTGTTTATTATGGGGAAGGAGAAAACCTTTGGGTTTTGCTGTGTTTGTGGCATCGCCTGCACCTCCTGACACTTACCTTCTGCAGATGTTTAGCTAAATGGCTGTGGCACACGGAAGGCTGTGTGCAGGCAGGATGGTTTACGGAGAAAATGGGAAGGCCTGATGACAGAGACAACATAGGAGTTTGTGCAGCTGTTTTACCGTGATGGATCTATTATCCAGCCATTACAAGATAAATGATCGATCTCTCCCACCCTCCACCCCCCTTCCTCTGCACCTTCTGCAAAATTGAAATGAGAACAGAAAGGAGGAGCAGAGGGCGGGGGTGGGCACTATGATTAGGGGCTAGGTGAGATGCCCATTAATTTAAGAGAAAAAGGAGGGAGGGAGGAAGAAGAGAGCAATAGAGAGAAGCGGATGACGGGAGGATAGGCCGACCCCACACAGGGCCATCAATCAAACATGTGCACGTTGTCTCTGACGTGATGACCCAGCACTCTCTGCCTCTCTGGCACCTTAATTAGAATTCATAGCAAAATAGATGCAAGGAAACGGTTTGGGCCCTTCATAATTTTATAGGAAATTTATTGTTATTAGAAGAACCATTTGCTTAGTGTGATTTTTCCATTACCAGCTTGTCACGCAGGGGAGATAATATGGCTACGAAGGGGGAGGAGGCACATGAACTCCACAGATTGGGGTGTCAGATTTGTTGATGGTGCATGTAGTTTACCTTGGAGCTGTGTCTAATGGGGGAAGTTGGTAAAGAATGCACAAAGCCTCGCAGCAGGACCGACATGTTCAGAAACACAGCCGACAATAATAGTTACAGACGGGGAGGAGATGCCGTAGTTACACACCTTGTAAGAATAACGGCAATTACTGAAATAAAATAACACATATATTAAAATGTGCTTGATTGTACACCAATTCAGTAGAAGTGCTGATTCTACACTTATGCTTTTTAACGTAAATTTTTGTAATGATTTTTCACAATGACTGGTTGTCATGCAAATTAATTGTAATGATATAATGGTCTCTAGGATTTTAAATATGTATATATCTAAATATATCTCTAAGTGTGTGTGTGTGTGTGTG